TCAGGCTCGCTGACTTGGTTGACACATGTCACCGGTTCCCCATTGCGCAGATCGATGCTTATGTTGTTAATCACTGGATTGTCTGGTCCAGACTCCATTATTTACAGACCACCGCCACATAGCTGAAATATTGCTGAGTGTGGCGTAAAACTAAACTCACTCTCACTCAGGTAATTTTCGAAGTAGCCTAATGACTAAAGTTAGTTCGTCACACTGAAGGTCCGTGTTCGAGTCTACAAACGGTTACAAAGCATGAAGCTCATTTAAGGTGTTCTCGTCGTGATATTCCTGTAATATTGTTAAATATACTAATATTCATTAAAAATATAGATATAGTTTCACCAGAAATACCTTCCTTGTTTGGCTGTGTACATCTATGTCACACAGGTGTTCCCAGGTGTTCCCAGGTGTCACGGTTCGGGGGTAACTACATCACTGTCACCGATATCTCTTCATCACATCAATCTATACCTTTCACATATTTTTGTCAATTGATTGCAAATATATATTACTCTCAGTTTGACGTGTGTCCGACAGTATAATTGAACGGGTGACAGAAATATTTTATTTACTGCAATGAGAACTATTGGGCATAATATAGAACATATCGCACGGCTGACAGATATATTGCTTTTATGAGTTATCGTATTGTCTTGCTTTGTCTGCATGCTTTGGAAATTCAGATATATAGTCCTAATCTGATAAAGATGCAATTACCTTTTCAACAGCACAAAATTGATTCCCATGGGTGTATTTTTAAATAGAATAACCTATGTGAATATTCCTGTCTACAGTTGAGAAGCATATTTCCCACTCACAAAATCCCAGGTATGCTTCCATTGTGCAATGATGTACGTTAATACACTTTGTATAATTTGTAATTATCAATAACGATAATGAGAATGATTATAAAAAGTATTAGTAATAATTATGCCGTTGCGTGGGTGTGACACAGGAAATGCAGAAATTGTCAAAATCCGTGGGTCTACGTTTATTCCACATGATGAGCAGAAACGGTCGTCACACAAAATACTAGTAATATGAAACGTTATCTTATATGTAAACGTTTGATAACGTCGTCAAATAATCATTCGAAATACTGTGTGTTCATAGTCGTCTAATTTACCCAACATATGAAAAATTGTCTTGAAATTATATTACAGGTTACATGATATCTTGAAGAAAAGCGGCTGTGGGGTAGTCTAGTGGATAAAGCGTTCGCTCGTCTCGCTGAAGACTCGGGTTCGATTCACCATTGCCAAAAGCTGCGCATGTTTTTAGTATAACGGGTTATCTAAGTAACATCGACCAAAATCAGAACTGTCCAAAATTGGCACGCGCACACGCGCACACGCGCACACGCTCACACGCTCACACACAGGGTCCAGAGTATACCACTGCTATAACTATAACGGAGTTGGCGTAACGCTTTCAGTATTCAAATGAAAACTCAAATGCGGTAGGGGTGCGCTCATCCTGTACGCGTGATCACAAAGAATGATGTAAGGCGTCATTGTGCATATGATAATTAATTGACGGTGCACGGTCAAAATCAACAAAATGTTTCTGAAGAGTATTTGCAAACCTGCTGTGCCTGTTGGCGCTGTAGAATAGGGCGTAGGCCGTATCTAATCAGTAGCCGGTGATACAAGTGGTAGTGAATCACTGATATGTGTAAATGCACAATACAGGTCAGGCCTATACCTTTCTGAATCACTCTGTCCCCGTGTCAGTGGGGGAACCCTTCCGTCCTCAAGTGAATGAGAGAGTTTGGTCTAACACCGAACAGTATTCTGGTTATATAAAGGCGTGTCCTCTTGGTGTGGTGGAAAAGCCTGAAATTGTTGCATGTTCCGTTTACTAACAGTGAGTGAGTTTAGTTTTACGCCGCTTTTAGCAATATTCCAGCAACATCACGGCGGGGGACACCAGACCTGGGCTTCACACATTGTACCTATATGAGGAATCGAACCCGGGTCTTCGGTGTGACGAGCGAACACTTTAACCATTAGGCTACCCCTCGTTTACAAACAAATAGGGTGCTGTGCTGACAAGCTTAGAAACATAATCTGGGCGAACGGAGATTCCAATCCAAGGTCATCGGTTCCTTACGTGTCTAAGGGACGCAACTCTGCAGGGAACAAGGACGCCATACGCGACTGGAACACCGTGACCCAATGTCATCAGATGGCAATTTATATGGAATTATGGTTGAACAATAATACCATGGATGATCCTGCGTTCCGAGATAAGATTTGGTCTCTAGCAACCGATATACTGGTCGTAAGAGGCGACATAATGGATTGGGTGACCAGACTCGGTGATTTGTTGATTGGTTGGACGTTGCCCATAGTATCAATCACAGGTTCGTTTGGCACATACACGATCGGTGGAATGCCGTGGTCATATAGCTAGAACAGCGCCAAGTATGGCGTTAGACAACAAACGTGCTAATCATCTACGGTTAAGGATCGTGGCTTGGTCTTGCGATGTCATGGTCTCGGTTCTATTCCCAAAGAGGACCAAAACATTACAATCGAAATGTGCAGTCTTCGTGAAAAGTCTGGAGCGTTAGACCGATTCCATTAAACAGGGCTAATAATTAGACTTGTATGGTACGAATGGCGAAAAACAGAAAAATGAATTGCCAATATCTTCATGTATTTTAATGTGTTGTTTAACGCTGCACTCAGCGTTATCCAAACAACATAATGGCAATGTGCATATCACATGACGTCATATATATTATCACATTATCAACTGTGGGTGCAAGGGGTTCCGTGGAATTATTTCCTCAATGAATATCGTAATTCATACACCATGATGATTGGCTAATTCTCTTCAATTGTTCCACTGAGCTACGTGTTCCTCGCCAACGTACACGGTATAACGCCTTACAGTAAATGAGTAAAGAACTGTTAATGTTAGTGACGTCACACACACCTTCAGTAACGCTGTTCAAACAATAGAGTGACTGAGTTAGTTTGTCCCTTTGTACAGAGACAATATAATAGAATCTATTATATGGTCTCTGCTTTGTTTTAGTGAAGTCAATGTTTCTAATTGACAAAACAAACTATGCGCCATTATACACGAACGTTGACTAACGCTTAGTCTCTGAATATATATAATTTTGACTTAATAAAAAAAATTATTTTAAATTGAAAAGGGGCCCCAGTAAAAATGGAGGACCGAGAGATGAACCGGAGGGAATCTAGACTTGCTGTATGCAAACTTTAGCATTGCAGGAAGGGTTAGGCGGAACAGGAAGTATTGCGGTTCAGGGACTGTGAGACAGGCTAGCACGAACGCACACACCAGATGAGTGAGTGAGTATGGTTTTACGCCGCTTTTAGCAATATTCCAGCAATATCACGGAAGGGGACACCAGAAATGAGCTTCACACATTGTACCCATGTGGGGAATCGAACTCGGGTCTTCGGGGTGACTAGCGAACACTTTAACCACTAGGCTACCCCACAGCCCCCCAAACACCAGATGACATAGCCCGGTGATAGTAAATATACATAAAGAAAACACATACCTAAGTCCTTCAATCAACAGTCAGCTCATAGTTCTAATTCAGCTCATACTAAGTGTCAAGTTTTAAATATACACACAATTATCATAAGAAAAATTATCTTTTCTTGACATATTCTACAGACAAGCAGAGTGTTATGTGAAAGCACCTATTTGTACGTTAAACCATAAACTGGTTCGATCCACTGTGTAATGTGCCAATATCCTAAACTACAGTCATAGATTGCAGCTAATGTACCAGAATAGATACAAGCTGATAACATTCACTTCTAACTCAATAACAGCAAACATTTTCAAACCCTTCTAGAGGTAAGCCACACCCTTGTACTTTGTACAAAGTATACGAAATGTTCGTCCTAATTCGTTGTAACAGTATACCGTTTGAGAGTATGTTCTGTCAGTTAAGTGGTCGACACGCCCGTATCTGATTTTTATGTATTATATTCAACTTATGCCGTTTGTTTGGGAGTTTTGAAACAACAAAATATTTCAAAACGTCTCTTGCCATTTGCTAAACATTCCATTTGCTAAACACGTTAAAACAACAAACCACGATTGAAATGAATCTCTGGTCATTACAAGCAAGGGTTTATAATGACATTGTTATACGTTTTAGTTTGTCTTGTAACAACAAGATTATTATCATTTAGATATTAAAATGTGTCAAAAAGAATACATATAGGATATATAGCGTGACAACATATCACATTCAAACAGGAAATAGTGAGTATTGTGCACATATATTTTATACACGCATGAGCTATTTTATGTCAGTGGTGATTGTGGTATGTACATTTTACTATGATGATAAAATAATGTAATGGCTTGTAACATTACATGCAATTCAATAGCCTTTCCATTTTTATTTTGTTTGTATTTATTTATTCTTTAACTCATTCATTGACTCATTCACTAATATTTATTTAGTTACTAATTTACGAGAAAAAAGAGAATCATATTATATATATGAGACACACACATACATGTGTTTATCACTGTGTGTGCGTCTGTGTGTTAAGCGTCAGGGGTAGCCTAATGGTTAAAGCGTTGGCTCGTCACGCCGAAGACCCGGGTTCGAATCCCCATATGGGCACAATGTGTGGCACCATTTCTGGTGTCCCCCGCCGTGATGTTGCTGGAATATTGCTAAAAGCGGCGTAAAACCAAACTCAGTCAGTCAGTATCCTTTTAATGGAATTATAATTCGCTTCACAATCTCCAACGCGCACTGTGCATTTACATAAACCGACACGCTTGCTGCAAGAGACGAACAGCTATGCAACGAAAATAGGTTACGCCAAGAAAACACACGATCATACAAGTTCCGTTCAAACATTGCGTGATGAAAAAACTCAAGTACAATTAGGTAATATATATGAAATTAATATCCGGTAAACATTTCCGAAGTGCCACCATTTGTAGAACAGACTATACCATGGTTGATTTTCGCGTGGGCGGAGAGTCATCGACGTTAGAAGAGGAAGTGTACTCGAGCGATACGATCATGGCGACTGTCGAATAAGTCTCTGGATATAGACATGGCAATTACTCTCCTTGACGAGTGAGTATGTTTGATTTTTCCAACGTTATACAATGCAATTTCAAGAGGTGCACTGACGCTGCGAAAATTGCGATAGAATGTACCATTATTTCGCAAACGTACATAACATATGTGAGGGGATGTTGCGGTACAAGGCGGTTTGTTATGGCGAACGCCTTCGAATCTCGCGTGTGGTTTTTGGGCGAAAACGTATGAAGATTGGCTCTAGTGGCGACACATCCTATCTATGGCTAGAAGCATGCGTGTTTGTGACTTTGTCGTTTCATGACCTCTCTTGATCGGCGAGTTTTCACTAGACTTCAAACGAAAGGCGATGTTCTTGTGAGTTGACTCCATCTCCGTGTTTTCCCCGATAACAGCGTAGATGTATATGAGATGCTAATAAATATCCATTGCTCTAGGATCGTGATTTATCAAGTGGTGTTGAAATATTCATAAAACACTTGTCATAAACGCTTTCAACAGTCATGCATCTTGCTGACAATCATCAGTCGATGCAGGGTGTGAATTAAATCTTATAGTCCATATCATATTTGCCTTTGTTGTCGATTGCAACAAGTGATTTCAGAAACAACTGTCCAAACTTCAGAATGATACATTAAGTCAGGGAAGTTTGTTTCGAAAATACTTGATATCATTCAAGTGTAAATATGTATATCACGTATGTGTAAGCGTAATTAACTTAATGACTGCTGGCAGACTTAAGTCGTGAAACAAATATTAGAATTTGGTGTAATTATTAATTTTTCACAATGTGTTACAGAGTCAATTTGACTTTCTTAGGTAGTCAATATGGCACTACTATGGAAAGAAATTGGTGGTCCACTGATATTTGATGGAAAAGTGTAAATATCAGATATATTTTCATACCCTAAATGACAGTTATAGAACATAATTCTGTCATGCTGAATGTAGCATATGTACTGTTTTAGGAAAAAAGCATTTGTTACTAATACTATGTATCAGAAAGTTGCTATACTTGCTTTTTACTATTTACACACTGTTTTACAGTGTTGGTGTATTGTCTTGTGGTTGTGATATTGTATTACATAATTATGTCTATGTTTATTTCTTATCTAACCTTGACTCAGCAGTGTTCAAGCTATATGATAATGATCTGTAAATAATCGAGTCTTGACCAGACTATCCAGTGATTCACATCCTGAGCATCCATCTACGAAATTGAGACACGATGACTCGCATCAACCAAGTCATCAAGCCTGACCAGGGTAGCTATTCTCGAAACGTTCATAGCCCTTCAAACTTCTTAAGCCCATTCTTAACACATTGGCTACGATTAAAGTTAAGAATTCTTAGGGCTACGAAGGTTTCGAGAATAAGGGCCCTGCTGATCTATTAGTTCTTACGGCAATAATAATTGCTGAATTTCAACTTTAACTTGGGTTGTTATGTGTCCAGTTCATGTCTATCCGCATCTGTGTGTGTGTCGTGCATGTGTGCGTGGGTGGGCAGGATGTGTGTTGTGGGAAATGATAGACACATCTAATCTCAGTAACTTATCCTTGTCTCAAGAGGTGACTTACTTTATTAAATGAACTGGAACGCTGTGTAGGGTGATCGTACAGGTTGATGTTCATGTCAGTCACTTGATTGTCTGGTCTAGACTGAATTATTTATAAACCACAATCATTCAGCTGGAATATTGCCAAATGCCTCATTAAACAACAACATAAACATACCACTTTTATAATAAAACGAAAATAGTAATATCATTTGAATTCACACCTGTCATGCTTCTCGAGGAGATTCAGTTTCAGTGACTCTAACCACTACTGCATATTGATATGAAATCCCAAACGTGTTTCATGAACTAAAAAGTTTGCATTATATCATGGTTTCCTTCTAAACCATTGAAATTAATTTCCATAGATAATTATCAATAATTAATAGATATCATCTGATTCTAAGAATCGTGGAATGGTGAATGTCAGTGATAAATATAATAAAGAAATATAAATAATAACAGAATATTGGACATATAAGTAATGTTGTCTTAGTACTGTCACAATGGAACACTATATAGTGTTAATGCATCTACGGTCATTATTGTCTCTGGATATACTTATTTACCTTGAACAATTGTTGACATCTTTTTATATATAAACTGTTGCCATTGCAAGGTAAAATTAGTGCAGGTTGATGGGGTAGCCTAGTGGTTAAAGCATTTGCTTGTAACACAGAAGACCAGGGTTCGATTCCCTACATGCGTATAATGTGTGAAGCCCATTTCTAGTGTCAGTGATATTGCTGGAATATTGCTAAAAGCGGCGTAAAACCAAACCTACTCACTCATATTATAGCAGTATTAAATCTTAGTTCGACTTGATTATTTACAGGCCATCGCCATATAGCTGGAATATTGCTGAGTGCGGCTGTAAAAACTAAACTCACTCGCTTACCCATGTCCAGTGTGCAACTCAAACTGTCATATTTTGGGATTACTTTGAAAATGTTGGTATGAGATATGTCTTATTGACTTGTGTCAAATTGGCAAATATACATCATCATATACAATACAAAACATGCAATAGCAAACGAAATAATTTTCAGGAGATGCGACAAAAGTTATGAATTTTTCGTCTGCATCTTTCACAGAAATAAAAGAGACAAACCCTGTGAACAGTCATAAAAATCTCTTTTAAAAGCCGAGTCGTCTGTATGAGTCTGACTACATCAGGAGTAATTGTTTGTGAATAATTCTCTAACAATAATGAAATATATGTTCGCAAAAGGGTGAGGGTCATGAACACACACACAGGCAAGTCAATTGTCCAAGAAATAGAATGTTTGGAAACAGTGACCCGACAATTTTTTAGCAATCCCACATATTTTTGTAATGTGCCTACTCGTTATCCTTTCAATCTTCTTTATTATTGTATCTTTTGAATGAAGTATTTTGATTTTATTGTATATTTTGATCAAAGTATATTTACAGTGTCTCTTAAAATAACAAATAAATCTTTAATTGAATAAATTGTATTAGATTGTTCCAAATAATCACCTAGCCTGTTTGTTTTATTTTTTAAAAAAGAAACTAATCATGAAATTATTGTTGATTCATTATTGAAATCAACTATTTTTTTAACAATCCAGTGATTAATATCATGAGCATCAAAATGATCAATCTATCTAAAGGACCCAATGACACGCATCAACAAGTTAGAGATTCTGACACTCTAAGAAACCAATAATATAATCCAGATTTTCCCAGCATCCCAGTTGAGCTTGATACCTGATACAGTATCAATACCCACACCACTGGAATTTTGTTTTTTGAAGAATGTGTTTGAGACATGCTGATTTCATTCCAGGGCGTGCCATGTTTCTCTGTCGTCTTTGTTTTTATACAGCAAACTTTGTAATGTAAATGTTGATGGGCCATAGAAGGGCACAGCCTGTTTCAGCTGATTGTATAATAAGCTCTCATTAGACATGTCCAGGCACAAAACATCATGAGTAGTATTTGTGTCATAAGTGGATGCAACAATCAGAGACAATGATGAGTTTTTACTGGGAGATTTTGATGTATCTCTGACCATATTGTCTGTATGGCCTATTTTGTTTGCACTCAAGTTGGCTGCCGGCCATTTTGTGAGAGACCTAGTACGAACAGGGCAATGTGTGATAAGGCAGTGTTTGTGAGAATGTAAGTATATATTTTGGATGTTTCTTCATAACAAATCACTCTGAAAGGACCTCAGGGAATAATAGGTCCGTGACATCCTTTGCTTGGTGAAATAGTCAAGTTGAATGATCAGTTTTGATAACAGTGGGTATATAAATGTGGTTAAAGCTTCTATTTGTCTCATGAAAGTTCTGATTTTGATTCGGAACGGTGGGGTAGCCTAGTGGTTAAAGCGTTCGCTCATCAGGCCGAAGAGTAGGTACAATGTGTGAAGCCCATTTCTGGTGTCCCTCACCGTGATATTGCTGGACTATTGCTAAAAGCGGCGTAAAACCATACTCACTCACTGGGTTTGATTCCCTTCCTGAGTATGTTTGAGACACTGATTGCTGGCGTCCCCTATCATGATCATGATGATATTGCTGGAATATTGCTAAAAGTATCGTAAACGCCTAAACACTCACTTCAGTATGTTGCGTTATTGTGGGCAGGAATCTGCAGGATGGATGATGGAACATTGAGCAATAATCATTCGGTCATTTGGTTTATGATATCATCCATTCCTGCTGGTGTTGATTGTTGCTGATGCTGTCAGACTCCGTGTTGCTGGTCAAGCCGTAATTATTTACATGCTGCTGGACTACAGCTGATTGCACCTAACATGACTGACTGACTGATTGAGTTTGGTTTTACGCCGCTTTTAGCAATATTCCAGCAACATCAGCGAGGGACACCAGAAATGGGCTTCACACATTGTACCCATGTGGGGATTCGAACCCGGGTCTTCGGCTTGACGAGCCAACGCTTTAACCACTAGGCTACCCCACCGCCCCCGAACCTAACATGAAGCACTGACATGTATCAGTGAATAGGTATAGTCTTATGGTACTTTTAGCAATATTCCAGCAATATCATGGCAGGGGAACCCAGAAATAGCCTTCACACGTTGTACCCATGTGGGGAATCGAACACGGGTCTTCGGCATGATGAGCCAATGCTTTAACCACTAGACTACCCACCGTCCCTAACATATGTTAACATAGGTTAGCGTTAACATGGTTAATCTATTATTCAACACTGCACTCAGCATTATTCTAGCCATGTGGCATCTGTCTAAGTAATCAAGTCTAGACCAGACCATCCAGTGATTGACGTCATGAGCATGGATTTATGCAGTCCAGATACAATGACATGCGTCATGAAGTCTGCAAACTCGTCCACCTGTTGCTATTTTTCATTTCTGACGACAAGCAAAGCGTGCTGAAGACCAATACTATTCTGTTTCATGAGTTTTGAATTTGTAATAAATATGGTTATAACAAAATCGAAGGGACCACTGATATCAGGACAGCAT